AACGAAATTTACCGGTGCGATCATTTCGAGATATTGCAGTGAAATAATGCGTGATCACCAGTACAATACTTGCAGAACGGCCGATTCTGATGCTATCTCATTTTCCTTTCTCGGCATTTGTCTATTTGCATTTTGCCTGCCTACATAAAGGTTAATTCGCGCGTAAATACTCACCTTACCCATCGCGGACATCATCGGCCTCTCGCGGACAGCGTTCACCTTTCGCCACTTTTCGCTCGACTCGATTATCCGATCGATAACTCTGATTTATGCCACCGAATCTGTCAGAAGTAATTTAGAATCGCGATGAACGCGCGAAATTTTTCCCTTTTATTTTCGAGATTGCCGTTTCTTTTCTCTAACTCTCTTCACTACTCTTCACGCTCCGCTGTTCCATCCACCGGTCCTCCCCGCTCTCATGTCTCGTGATCACTTATGATGCAAGTAGACAATAGGTATGTTCTTTTTCGAAGAATTTTGAATTCTGAACTAGTTCTGTTGCGGACAGGGTTGCCAACTTTTTGAGAGATTTTCTTACACGAGCATGTCAGACAAGAGGTCTGTTTTCTGTGGCTGAACTAGTGTGCATTTTTGGAATTTAAGAATTTTGTGAGATAGATATACGTTTAATAATTGTTTCAAGCGAGAAGGATTCTAGAACAGTCTTCTGCAGAAACAGATAACAAATCATATAATATGCCTGATTTATTCTTCGGTCTTAATCCTAAAATTTTAAAATTCAGCCAATAGAATATAGATTTTAGATAGGACTAATTAAGACTGGCAACCCTATTGGTTGAATTTAAAAATTAATTTTAGGTTATGAATCAAGCATAAAATCCAAAAATCTACAAAAAGAAATCTGAGAAAAGACATGATAGTCTTTTCCCTAAATTTTAATTGTGTGCATTCCCTATTTTTTTTTGATATTTTATGAGTAATAAAAGATTTGTACGCGTCGAACAGGAGCATGTTGGAGCATTCGACGCGACAAATCTAAAAATGGAATGTTCAATTGTCGTGTCCGCCACAGAACTAGTTCAGGCAAAATTTATTCGAATAATTAAGTGTACAATTTCGAGTAATTGAGTGTACTACTTATCGTTTTAGTCTTTTTTTCTCGTTTGCATCTCTACTATGAAAGTACTTATACATACACTATCGACACAAAAAATTTTTTCGCTATAAGCAATGTGAATATACATAGCGTGATCTTTCTTTCTTTCTTTCTATCTTGCTTACAAAATATCTATATCGCGTCTCACAAGCTCAATGTTACTATATTAAGCCGGTAATTCTACATTAGTTACAAATCGATCACAAGTTTGTTGCGGCAGCCAATATAAAGCGTTGATTTCAAAATGCAAGCTTTAGATTGGCTATCGCAACAAACTTGTGAACGGCTTGCAACTAATGTAAAACCGGATTTATATTGGGTGTGGGAAAAAGTTCGTGGCGTTTTTCCCGCTAGGTGGCATTAAATTCTCAGCAGTCGGCAACTACTAATCGCATCGGCAACACTAGACGTGCGTTTAAAAAGTGACATTTTAATCTTTGTTTTGAGCCGAAAAAGATTGAAATCGGTGAAGTGGATCAAAAGTTATTTTATGTTGAAAATGGAAATAAACAAGGAAAAAATTCGCTACATTTTGCAGTATTACTACGATAAATGCAAGAATGCTGCACAGGCTTGTGAAAAAATTTGCGCTATTTACGGTGAAGATACTCTATCAAAATCAGCAGCACGGAAATGGTTCGCTCGCTTTCGTGCTGGAAATTTCGATGTGAAAGATGAACCTCGCTCCGGTCGACCAATCACTGAAAAGTCCGATGAAATCACGGTAAAAGTCGAGCGTGATAAGCATGTGAGCACTGTAGAGATTGCCAGGGAACTAGGCATCGACCACAAAACAGTTTTAAATCATTTACACAAAGCTGGATACAAAAAGAAGCTCGATGTTTGGGTTCCTCAGTTGAGTGTTAGGAACATGATGGACCGAATTAACATTTGTGATACGCTACTGAAACGGAATGAAATTGAGCCATTTCTGAAGAGAATGATAACTGGTGATGAAAAATGGATCACGATCTATAATCTAGTTGGATACGACAATACAACTAGAAAAAGATCGTGGATAAAGGAAGGAGAGAAGGCGCAAGCAATCGCAAAACCTGGATTGACGAGGAAGAAGATGATGTTGTGTGTGTGGTGGGACTGGAAGGGAATCGTTCACTATGAGCTGTTATCGTCCAATCAAACAATTAATTCCGAACTCTACTGTGAACAACTGCAGAGATTACAACAAGCAATTGAAAGGAAGCGGCCAGAATTAATCAATAGGAGAGATGTCGTCTTCCATCACGACAACGCTCGACCACACACATCTTTGATGACTCGGCAAAAATTGCGAGAGCTTGGCTGGGAAGTTTTAATGCATCCACCGTATAGTCCTGACATAGCACCCTCAGACTATCATTTGTTTAGGTCTCTGCAGAACTCTCTTAATGGTGTAAAGCTAACTTCAAAAGAGGCCTGTGAAAATCACTTAGAACAGTTTTTCGATCAGAAACCACAGAAGTTCTATCGCGATGGAATTATGGCTCTCCCCCAAAAATGGCAAAATATTATAGAAAATAATGGAGCATATTTGGTTTAAATAAATTGATTTCTAAGAAAAACACTTTAATTTTACTAAAAAGTCACCAACTTTTTCTCATATCCAATAGAATTCTCCCGTTCATCGCCATTACGATTTTATGCACATCCTCTCATGAAAACGTCACGCGCCATTTATTTTATTTAACACAATCATAACGGAAATTTCAATTTTACATATTATCTCTTTCTACGTAATATTACTCGTCGGACTTGGTATTAGCATACGCGCATATCGGTTTCATCCAACTTTTACTCATTATTCTTATATTTTTTATTTCCTACTAGAGAATTATTTTACTTCCTACTATGCGAACAATTCAAATGCGAATCAAATCAGAGATAAGATTCGATTCAGATTTAAATATTTATGATTTGAGACCGAAATTTTGTTTATCAAAAAATCCTGATTGCAGATAGAAGGTTAGAAGATATGTTCTAATTCGATTTGATTCAATTCGGTATAAAAAAAATTTTGATTCGCACATCTCTACTCTCTACTTAAAGTGTAACTTTTATATCTCTCGTATGTTATCACGTGTTGATGACACCAGTTAATTTGAAATGAGACAGCAAGAAAATATATACATAGTAAAGAGTCTCTACGGAATTACGGAGAATCAATGGAATCTTATTTATAATTAGGGACAAAAATTGAATAATCATCGAACTCCAAAAATCTCGCCGCGAAAGAAAAGTATACAAATAAAGACTCTACTTTAAAGTGACATTACACGATTAATAATACTGACAGTAATATTGAATCAGTAATACTGACAGTATACATCAATATTTTTAGTATTTTTACAACCTTACATGATCAGTATTATTAGCAATATATTTCACATTAGTTTTACGTACAATATCTATTACACTGTGATATACTGCGACACAGATCCTAATAAAGCGAGAGAATCAAAATCCAAATCACCGTCAGTATTCTATCCACCAATATTAAACACATAGAATCAATAATAGAGATGCAACAAATATCCGGTAACTATTCGATGGCTTATCCAACTGGTTTTTTATAATTCGACCGTTTGACCGGATAATCCGGCCGGTGCAAAAATTGTTTTCCACAATTTGAATATAAAAATTATTTAAATAAATCATATATAAATTTTAATTTCAAAATATTTTATTATATATATATTTGATCAATCTATTAAAAAATTACATTATTCTTTTATTAATGCTTAAATATTAATTAAATACATATTCAATGTAACATATAAATATTAATTAAACATATATAATGTAACATAATTTTCTTACTCTTATCTAATCGTCTAACCTGCGATTAAGAATGAAATGCCTACATGTATTTGATCCTCGTTCATTTAAATGTAAAAAATAATTTGAACAGTTTTACAAACATTTACAAAGTTAATACATATTTTATTATATGTATAAATTAACTCAAAGTATGAAAAAATGTCGATCAAATTTTGGAGTTATTAAATACTTCAATATAAAGATACAATTATAAACAATAACAAAATATAAATGTAAACAAAACAAAGAAATCCAATATACTCTAAAATTGGAATATCAAAAAAATATACATGATTTGTACTTTTTGATTTTAGGAGATATTGAGCAAAGCACATTCCTTTATTATATATTCCCTTGTGAATTCGATTGCTTCAAGTTTTGTATTTGCCTGCATTATTTCGTTATCACATTAACACGAGTTACTATCCTACATACCAGCGAAGATTTCGGGATATTCACTAAAAGTTAATAGCGACATCTTTTCTTTTTTCTTTACATACTATAAGCAAGTATAAAATACAAAAAATTATTATATATATATAAATTAAACTTTTGATTTTTAACATAACATATTTAGTATAGATCAATATATCTTTATAAAATATAGCGTAAAAATATCGCGTCAAGGTAAATTTTAATTGATTATGTAAAATCGTAACAAAATAAATAAAATAAATAACAAAATAAATAAAAAATAAGAAAATGTAACAAAATAAAAAATAGGCCCATACATATTTTTTTGCTCTTGCACGACTACAGAAATGATTTAAGGATCATTGTTCTGAAATAAGTGGCATTGTGTATTTTATAATTATAAAAGGATATTCAAATCAAGACCAATATTTGCCCGATATATTCGCTTTCATGACACCGCTAACCATTTCAATGTTAATATGCAGTTCATAAATGATAAAAAGAATCTGTACCAATCTGTATAAAAATACTCTTATCAAGATAATGCAATTTCTCGGCTAAAAGTACATAAGTACATAAGTAAAAATTAACTTCTTGTATATTCATTATTCCAATGATTGGACCCATTCGTGTAATTAACAATTCAGTCGTTTTTCATAATAATGGAAAAAGGTTGGACTACATTATTTAATTAATAAATATCAATTTTTTTCTAGATTACATTTTTAGTTACGTTATAGAAACAAAACTTTTTGTTCTAATTCAAACACATTGGAAATGCGAACAAATGCAATTAAACTCATGTTCATTTTTTATCATTATGATATCACACGATGAACCACCTCTTTTCATCCTTCTAAAAAATTAGAAGGGGAAAAGGGTGGTCTGCCTCGCTTGCTACTTAGTCGCTTCGGGCGGACAATCGGGCTGATTGTTGGGGTGAGTCGTAGTGAAGGCCGGATGGTGTTCTAAATGACGGTCTACTCTCAGAATTGTAGAAAAGGGTTTGAGATCAACATGAAATTTTCGTGCATTGTATATCTGTGGTACTAAGCAACAATCCGCTAATGTAATTTCATCGCCGACACAATATTTGCCTGCGCTCGACAATAACAACTTCTCCACAGCTAAAATTATTATTAGTACTTAATTATGCACATATTCATACATTAACAAGGCGTGTAGTTTTTAATATATGCAGAGATTGTAAAATTACATGATATTTTGCTGGATAAACTTGATATTCAATAAATAATTATAATTGCAAATATTTGTGACCTTCATATTACTAGCATTTAAAGGCAGTATATTAAATAAAGTAACTATTTATTTTTTTCATTTGTAAATGTTTAAAAATTTATTTATTTAAATTTGAAAGTTTTCGTGAAATATGAAGAAAACTTCATATTTGCCTTTTATCACATAAATCTGCAATCCTACACAATATTACAATTATTACAATTATTCTAATTTTTTATTATCATTGTAATACCTGTAAATCCTCTAGTAATCCAATTCTGCGCCCATTCCGTTTTACGTTCTTCTCCAACATGGGTCAGAAGACCAATATTTTGCAATGGTTGTATACCACTGGCAATTATTTCGCAAATCTCTCTCACTCTAGCTCTTTTGATAGGATCTACTGGCATCAATGAACGATTTGGTCTAGTTTCTTCCAAATATTGTAGGATATTCAACTATATTATAAAGATTGTTATTATTCTAAAAAAAAGATCAAAACAACTACAAGAATATTCATGAATTTACTCACAGACTCTATCAAAGTATGATTGTCAATATGTAGCGCAGGGACTTTCTCCATTGGATTAATCTCACGGAATTCATTGGAATGTTGTTCTCCACCACTCTTCACCAAATTAACAGGCTTTATATCATATGGTATCTCCTTTAGGTTCAATGCTATTAATAAATGTCAGAAATATTTAAATCTATAAACATTAGAAACGTATTTAAAAAATAAACTCTCTCGGTAATAATAAAACTAATTCTATCTATGAAAGGACATTATAGCCGGTTCTTATTTCAAGACTTATTTCAAGTCTTAAGTAATATCTTAATATTCTAATACAACTCTGTGGACAGTATTCAGTTACTATTTTAAGTTTACAGTTTTAAGACAGTTTTAAGATGTTAATTCGGCTCTCTGATTAGTTCATGTAGAAATATTCTTAAAATCCTAAACAGCACATAGTGCCTAAAAAGCGTTAAAAAAAGCGCTAAAAATGTATACATAATAAAAGTATACATCTTTTTAAAGCTTTGCAGGCGTTGCTGTGTTAGTTGGAATCTTACTATAATATTGTATATGTCTACTTGAATCTGAATCAGCCAAATAGTAGATAATATATTGAAATCGTTGCATGTCTATTTCTATTGATGTACTCGGATGAAGGTCATCAAAATTTAAGTAGCTTATCTAAAAAGTTCAATGTCGATGATACACTTGCATCTTCAATAATAAATTATATAACTATTATATAATTATTAAACCTGACTATTCTCAGTTTTCACAACTTTCCCTGATTGTTTTTAATTCCTTATCTTTTTTTGGTTTTTATATAGTTTCCCTGGATTCCAAAACTCAACTCTGTCAACCAGAATATCATTTTATCTTTGTTGTTTTATCTTTGTTTATCTTGTTTACTGATCAAGGATAAAAGATACTCAAAGTTGACAGAAGTTGATACAATTGATAAATTTTGGAATAAGTTTTTATGCGTGTGTGTAATGTATAAAATAATTTTTCACTTATCACATAATTTTTCACTTATCACATAATTTTTCACTTACCAATTCTTACCCTCCAAGAGCAGGAACTTCGCCAATAGGAATAAAGCACCGGCTGTAAAACGAAATAAGAGCTATGAATACTCAGCAAAGCTGAATTACGCAAGTCAATCTTGAAAATTTAACATAATCAAAGTTGTCATTCATATTCAATTTAATCTAAGTTGTGTACTACATTCACACACTAGAAAAAAATGTAAAAAAAAAGTATAATCATTGATAAATATGAACAAAAATAAATTGTGAGTGTCGAAATACACATTCATTAAAACATGTTTATATCACATCTGTTGATATTATGTGATGCTAATGATGGTCCATTTATTCTACTACTTTAGATAAGCATGCAAGGAATAACTCATTAGGTGATTTGTGAAACTTATCACATAAAAAAATTTTTTTAAATGGGTATTTTTTGGTAAATTTTAACCACAAAATATATGTAAAATATGTAAAATATGTAAAAAATTTTCAGCCTAATGTCCAAGAATATTTGGAAAATACTTTTGAGAAACGCTTTTCATAATATCAAATAATTTTCTTTTATAAATTTATTCATGCAATTTTTATAAATAACGGAAATTTCGAAAAGGAAATTTAGAAGGAAGTTTAATATAATTTACATCAAATCATTTGTTAATTATTTATTTATTAATCTAAAGTTAATTTAATTATAATTGAAATAAGCTATGATATTGTATTAATTTTTAGAAAATATATTTTAAGAAAATATGCGAACTTTTTTACTCCATTATCAAATATATTCGCTAATCAAGAAAAGAATTTCTTCATTGTGTTATTTTTTCTTTTTGAGCAGAAATAGAAATCGCCCGTAAGATGCGCGTTCAATTGACAATCGTGGCGAGTAAATGTAATGGAATTTATTTTCGCGCAATCGCGGATTTCAGGATTTCAAGAGCAATTATCCAACGAGATATACCGGTGCGTCAATTGGAGATATTGCAGTAAAATAATGCATGATCACCAGTACAGTATTCGCAAAACGGCCGATTCTATCTTATTTTCCTCTCTCGACATTATCTATTTGTATTTTGCCTGTTTACATAAAGGTTAATTCGCGCGTAAATACTCACCTTACCCATTGTGGACATCATCGGCCTCTCACGGACAGCATTCACCTTTAGCCACTTTTTGCCTGACTCGATTATCTGATCGATGACTCTGATATTATGCCACCGAATCTGTTAAGAAGTAATTTAAAATGAACAGTGAATGCGCGAAACTCTTCCCTTTTATTTTCGAGATTGCTTTCGAGATTTCTTTTCTCTAACACTCTTCACACTTCGCTGTTCCGTCCACTGATCTTCCCCGCTCTCTCGTATCTCATGATCACTCGTAATGCAAGTAGATAATAGATCTGTTCTTTTTCGAAGATTTCTGAATTCTACTAGTTCTTTTGCGAGCAGGGTGGCCAACTTTTTGAGAGATTTTCCTACACGAGCATATCTGTATAATGCCTGATTTAGGGCATAATTGGACATATTTTGGGTAATTTTCTTTATGCATATGGTTATGTGACTATGTGTGGAATGACCTTTAACCCTTATAACCGCAACACAGTTCTTGCATAACGCATAATGTAGTACATAAGGGAATCAACCAATTGAAATTGTTTTTTTCTACGAAATGGGAGTAAAGAAAAGATTCTGATTAATTGATTCGCTCATGCATTGTGCGTTTTGCAAAAGTTCGTGCTGCAACCTTTATTCCTAAAGTCCTAAAATTCGGCCAATGAAATATAGATTTTAGTAATTACTAATTAAGACTGACAGCCCTATTGGTTGTATTTTAGGATTTTAGATTTTAAGACCCAAGCATAAAATCCAAAATAGAAACCTGAGAGAGGACATGAGAATCTTTTTTCTAAATTTTAATTATATGCTTCTCCTATTTTTTTTTATATTCTATGAGTAATAAAAGATTTGTTCGCGTCGAATACTCCAACGTGCTCCTATCATAGGCCTTACTCACTCCAATTAACTCGTTGGAGTGAATAGGAACTATGGAAGGGCATGTTGGAGCATTCGATGCGAACATCTCTAAAGATAGGAGATCCATTTGTTATGTCAACTTGTGTTAAATGAAAAGCATCCCTAGTTTCCATAGACAGGTGCTAAGACTAACATGGCTGCTACTGTGCTGCCTATTCGTCTTCTCGTGACATCGCCCTTTGTCTCGACAATACTTTTCTAATCAGCGAAGAATAAGGAGTACCGAAAGGGAGAGAGAAAGAGAGAAAGAGGGAGAGAGAGAGAGAGAGAGAGAGAGAGAGAGAGAGAGAGAGAGAGACGATGATGACGACGACGACACATTAGATGGAACAGCGAACTTCAATGGAAGACTTCAGCTAGCAAAATGTCAACCCGATCGCAGCTTACAAAGGATTTAAATGGTTCGTCTGCGCTTTATCGCGTGTTTACATTAGTCGTCATAACACTAGAATCGAACTGTTTTCCACACGAATGTTCGTCTCTCCCGTTGGCGAACGTCAATATTGTTGCCCAACATTCTACATCTCGCGCGAGTTTCAGGATTAATTAGCCTGTCGTTGTATCCTTTTGGAGTAAAAAGGAGCGACTGGCCTGTAAAATCTTCGTACTATCTTTGATATACTTTTTTTGTAGTAAAAGTATAACTGTGTGTAAATTTTATTCATTTCTTGCAGAATCGGTGAAAGCGCTACTTGGCAAGCATGTAAAAATACTATTAAAGAATGTGGTGAAATTGGAAACAAAACAGGACAAACAGGAAAATCGTGTTCTCGTGAGTGATTGTTTTTTCCGTCTTTTTTTTTATCTCTCTTTCTTTTTGTAATACTTTCTTATTTTTTACATTGATATATATTGATTTTGTCTTGTCATTAAGGTGTTCTCGCCATGTCGCCTCTTTCTCTTATCGGCCAAAGTACCCACAAGAGTAAGTAGTTTAGTTTATATTCTCTTTTAAACCATTTAATCACACTATATATTGTCAATTGTGGTTTCTGGTTAAGTTATACTTTATAGTGTTTTTGACTATAGCAAATTTGCACTTGGATTCAATTAATGCTGTATTGGTTGACGTACCAATAAATCATAAACATCATTAATCTAACCCAAGTTGATGCAGATCTATTATAGAAAATGTTAGTCTATCACTTTGCAGCTGACTATATTCTCTGCATCATGATTGGCTAAAATAAGATCAGAAATCTACAAGTTTTACCAATATAAGATTAATTTAAGTTGGTTCCATTTGCTCTTTATCTTTTTCTAATTTTGAGAAATAAAAAAAAGATAAACTTTTAAACTGAGATTAAAAAGTATTCTGAGATGGAACCAGATCATAAGTATATGTTACTCTTTTATTGCATGCTGCATTTACATTTTATTCTTTTTTAGATCGACTGCCATTTTCATTATCTAGAAGTAACGGCTATAGAATCGAGAAGAGCGAATCAGCTATGTTTGACCGTCGGAGAACGGTATTACAATTTTACTACAAACAGCGTCGGCGGAGATACCACAGAAGTAGACGCTATGATAGAGGCCTTACACACGGCAATTCGAAATATCTTTCCTACAGTACCGTTAAAGTATGTTTTGTTTCATTTTGTAGCAAAGAAACATTTGTAAGACTCTGCTGATTATGTATTTTAAATATTTGTAGTTATATTATACGAAAAATAGAGGTAATACCAGCTAGCAGACTGCAGAGTATACGAGGAAGCGAGTTAGCTAGAAGCACAGAAGCCACGAGACACACAGGGCCCTGTGGTGGTTTCTCTACCCAATATGCGTGCATGTGTGACTTGCATGGTGTACCGTACAGGGAGGAAGTGGCCTGGGTGAGATTGACGGCATCATTAGAATTTGCTTTAACAATGTTGAATTATCTGCTACAAAAATCTTATTTAGACAGATATGAATTTCAGGATGTCGACACAATATACCTTTCACATGACACTAGAGAGCTGAATTTGACAGACTTTGATCATTTAGATCAGAAGGACTTGGTGCCAATTATCTCGGCCTTGGAGTATAACACTTGGTTCACTAAATTAAGGGCATCTCACCTCAAGTTAAATCACGAGCCTTTAGAAAGATTGTTACATGTTATGCGAAGATCTTTGTCCATTCAAGAGCTTTATTTAGATAATCTTGGGATTAAGTGGTAATGGTTTAAGCAATTAGTTTTTACAGAGAGAATGTATTTAATGGATAATGTAAATATTTGTTTTTGAAAGGGATTTCGCTCACAAGCTGTCGTTAGCCTTGATCTCTAATGCTAACACGATGTTGCAAACAATAGATTTGTCACACAACATGATCGAGGATAAAGGTATAATTAATTTCAATTATTTATTCAGTATTCTTTTTGTATTTGAAATCTTTATCTGCACTACAGCCTATTGAGCTCTATTTTCCGATTGTTAACCGTAATCAAAAGTGTCCTGAATAGATTTTTATTATATTTTTTGTAGGAGCCTCTAGCTTGTGTGGGATAATAGCCAAGTTAATGCAAGGTGTGCCAATAACCATGTATTTTAATTATTCCTAATAATTATACTACAGGCATAGGAGCAATTCACTTTTCTCATTTATTTATTTAGAAATCACTTGTAGATCACTTTCTCATTTTTCTAAAAAAGACTCACTTTTCTCATTTCCTTATTTATTTTGAGCACCAGACATGTGAAAATATGAAGAATAGTAAATAGATGACATTTTCTAAGATTCCATAGGGGCTGTGGAAACTTTTGCCTGTTCATATTTTGATTATTTACTATCAATTTCAACATTTATCAATAGATGAATACATGAAATCAATAGATGAATGAAAAATAGATCAATATATGAAAAATAAGTCATTTTCACATACATGCACTCATTCGTAAATTTGAGAACGATTTTCTCGCATCTTATGAAAAATTAAGTATCTTGGTGAAACAAAATCATACAAAAGTTTTCAAAGATGTATTTTGAAGAGAAAAGATAAAACTGTAAATTTATTTTTTAATTTTGTTTTTGCAATATTTCGTTCCTAAATGACATAAAATAAAAATTTTTTTCGATACTTTTATTTTACTTTGAAGCGTAAACTGCTAAACCATTATTATAACTGCTAAAACATTATTAAACAAAAATTTATGAAAAAGTTTTAAAATAGAATCTGAAAACAAATTTTTCTTCTGCTTAGTTTCTGTAAAGTATTTCATTTTGAAGTTGACATTTTGTTAAAGTGAGCTTTCAAGAAATTCAATATTGTGAAAAATCATTGTACTTTTTTTAAAATCAATTTTTTTCAATATTTCTCTCTAATTTCTTATGTAAAAACTCACTTTTATAAACTTTGAAATTAAATAAATAATTTATAGAAAAAGAGACAGAAAAAATGTTTATTATATTCTCGATTTATATGAATAAAGAAAATATTTTTTCAAGACACTTTTTAAATATTTCCTGACTTTACGAACGGTAATGTTATCACAACAGCTAATATCGTCCTTAAACTCGGCGAGCCGAGTTGGTGAGGAAAGCGTCCACTGTAGAAGCCACACTCTGTCAGGCTTGCTTTATGTATTATGAATCATTTCTCTATGATATGATATAAGATAGATGTTATATCGTTATATAAATATAAACAGTATATAATAAGTAAACTAATTTTTAACTTATATATTCTCTAAAAAAACTTATTTTTTCATTATTTTTGAAAAAATAGCTAAACTGCTCCCTTGTCTGTACTAGTATATGATATGCTTTTCCTTTAAACATGCATCTTTATTTTATAAACTTATAAAGAGACTCATATAAATAAATATTATTTATTTTTTTTTTATTTCAAATTATATAATATTCCAGAGTTTACTCTATACAAGCATTGCGTTAATATGTAAAAAATTATTGATCTCTACAAGTAAAAGCTTCTATTAGAAGCTTTTGCTTGCACAGGTCAATAATTTTTATTATTTGTACATCAGACAAAATTTGTAATATATTTTTAAGGTGGTACTCATCTGAGCGGCCCTATTGGCAAGTTGCCTAAAGGTTTACAAGAATTAAATTTGGCCCATTGTGGATTGACCGGGAAAGGTATAAGTCAAATAGCTCACGCATTAAGCTTGAACAGAAGTATGCCAACTAGTTTGCGATATCTGAATCTTTCGGAGAACACCTTGAAGGACGATGTCAATGTGAGTAACTATAGGCTGATCTTGACGATAAATTACAGAGTCTTAATTTGTGTAATAATTACAATAATTAAAATTATAATTTGTATTTAATAATTGCAGAATTTGTGCAATTTCTTGGCACAACCTAATAGTTTAACACACCTAGATCTTAGCGGTACGGATACTACTTTAGAATATGTAAGTAACTAATTTTGCATAGTTTTCTTTTAAATAATAACTTCAATACTCGACTGTCCTTACAGAAATTTAAATCAATTTAATGGAAGGTAATGTTTTTGTTAATGTTTTTAATACTAAACTAAAATAATTAATCATTACCTTCCAGTATTAAATTAGTTTAAATTTCTGTAAGAGCAATACAATTTGCATTGTTCTTTATGATTTGATTTAGTTGTTCGGTGCATTACTACGGGGTTGTGCAACTAATTTAATCCACCTGAACGTTGCCCGGAATTCCTTTTCAAGCAAGAAGACCAAAGAAATACCTCCAAGTTTTAAACAATTTTTTACGGCGACCCTTTCGCTGAAGTACTTAAATATATCTTCGTGCAAACTACCGTTGGAGGCATTAAAACATCTGCTACTCGGTTTGGCATGCAACGAAAGTACAGTTGGCCTAGAGCTTGACATGAGCGGAAACAATTTGGGTTCTATGGGCGCGCACGTTCTAGAATCATGCATTCACGGAGTTAGGTGTATAGCGTCATTGGATATATCGGACAGCAGTACGTATACAGCTATAAAAAGAATATAATTCGATTGGATGCACTCAGTGCGCATTGATACATTCAGCATTAAAGCTGCCGTACACAGGTTAAAAGTATGTTTTTAATATAAATATAGAAACGGATTAAACTACTACATATCTTCTACTCATTTTATTGCATTCTAGGAAAAATGTGTATTTTATACCTCAAAGTATTTTTATTTTACTTTTACACTCAAATAAAATCAATATATACAATGGTTTTAATATGCATTAGTGCGCCCAACCGAATTATTCGTGTTTTGTAGTTTGTTTCCGAAATATATAGTGTTGATCAATTAATTGCTATTAATACAAAAAACTATTATAAATTGTAAAACCATTCAGTCAATTTCGAAGAATTGATTGTATGGCTTTACAATTTATATAATATAATTTCTTTCGATTTTAGATTTGTTTCAAACTAAATGGATATAAGATTTTTTTCAACATTTTTATTTACAGACATGGACGTCGATTTGGCACAAGTTGTAACGGCAGTTGGCAAGAACAAATCGATAAAGCAGTTATACATGGGACGCAATACCGCCAGTATGAAGAGCAAGCACATAGCCGTCGTGATGGACGCTCTGGTGCAAATGCTTCAGGAGGATGATTGTGTTCTTCAAGCATTACATCTACCAGATTCTCGATTAAAAGGCGATCTCTATAATCTGATTAATGCTCTTGGTAGTAACACATGTTTACACGTCTTGGATATTAGCGGTAATCAGATAGGTGATCCTGGTGCAAGGTTGTTAGCAAAAGCATTGCAAATCAATAATCATTTACGGACCATTATATACGACAAAAATAACATTACGTTACAAGGCTATGCGGATATTGTTCACGCTCTAGAGAAGTATGTATCCACATAGATCAGAATAAGAAGGAATACAATAAATTTATTTAAAAAATTTATTCTTACAGGAACTGTAGCGTACGACATATGCCGTTTCCCATTTATGATCTCCAACCTTGTATGAAAACTTCCGCAGAGAAAACAGAGCAGTTAGTCAAGAAGATACAAGATCTGTTGCAAAGAAATGTTACGCCGTGCAAATATAGTCATGGGCAAGCGTTCCGTTTGCAACAAGGATTTCTGTTGAGTTCTACGCAACAAATGGTTGATAGACTCGTCGTTCAAACTCAAGACACTATAAAGACCCTTGCGGCAGAGAGTTGTGACGCTAATAATGATATCAATTATGCGACTGGACTTATACAAGATGCGGATAATTCTAAACAAGTACGTTTGATAAAATTTGGAAAAATTGCTTTGATTGAGACATTAAAATATTCACGCTTATTATATCTTTTTGCAGCTACTGCCAAGATTACATGAAGTGCTTCAAAGACGCGACGAGAATAATCCAATCGAGCAAAAGCTACATGATATGGCAAACGAACTTCATAAAGTTATAACGACATATCTACAGGTATGTATTGAATGAATTTTTACAGTTACTTTCCTACTCTTGCTGCTAGTTTAAGTCACAAATTTAGAATAGAATTATTTTCTGAAAGATATGATTATGTACGTTACATGAGAAACTTATGTTGATTCAGGATTCTTTGGATGCAATGATAAAATGCGCAAATGAGCAATGTCCTACTATACTTTCACAAATGGTGATCAGGGGCGACGAGAGTGAGCCGATCGCAGTACAAGATGATCTTCGTAATACGTGTAAAGAGAAAAACCAAATTAATAACGAATTCATACATACCACTGTTACCGAACAAGCTGGCGCAGATATAGTTAATAGAATTAAGTAAGAATTTTGCAATTTTAATATAAATGTATTGTTTTTTTATTTTAATATAAATGTATAAATGTATTGTTTTTATAAATGTATTGTTTTAATCCTTTTCTCTTTTTTTGTAGTGAGCTTAATTTAGCAGTTGCGGCGCATATATCCGACAGGATCACGGACGAGGTAATCGAATCATTATCAAGAAGTTATAAAACTTTGGTAAGTTTCAAAACAACTTAATATCATATAAAATATATTATCACTCTTAAGAGAATATTTAATCTAATTAATGCTTTATGGTATGTGTGTATAGAATGATATATTTGTAGTTATTCACTATTTATAGTTATAGCAAACAATTATAATATGAACTGAGCTTCACATTTTTTTCATAAATATATGTATTTAATTACACTGTTTCCGTTTAATGTTGATTTAATCATGTACACGATTGTTATTTCATTATCTAGCAATTTTTCGCTTATATTTTTATCCATCTAATAATTACATGCAATAATAGATAATGTATGTATATGTCAATCATAAGATGTTAAGTGATAGCATTATTAGCGGATCTTAAAGTAACCTTAATGAAAAAGAGAGATTAAGAAATTTAATTGCATAAGCAGGAGAGTTTTTTAGTTTTTGAGCTTTAATAAAATTTTTTATCGATGTTCACATTATTTAATTCATCAACTAACAAAAATTTATAGCTTGCATACTCAAAATGTAAATTCTGAAATGACAAATTGATATGAATGTCTAAACGAATAAATTTTTTTTTTTTTGGAAAGGAATACTCAGATTTTTTTCATATCGATGATTCTCTTATAATGATATACAATATAATATAATAAAATACTTTCAGATTGGCGATTGTGATAGCCGAACGAGAAGTAGCACACCAGATGTTTTACGACCTAGCGCTGGCTCGATGAGTAGCGGAAGTGTGATAGGCGTGACAAGTGCGAGCGGTGTCTCCATGACTTTACCTCCTGGTAGAGTTAATCTCATGTCCGAAGAGGACTGTCCGCCGGAAACATGTTCGCTAGCAGATTCTATTGGTCAATGCGTCAACGATCAATCACCAATGGTAGAACTTTAAATTCTTTATTCTTAATATCGGAATCGTGAGATAATTATTTTAAAAGTACATAAAGAATATATATTTACATTATTTCCTATATACAATATAAATATTTCCACTCGAATTCGCTTGATATGCAAATACGTTATTTTGTTTATATGCTTACATAGAAATTGGATTATCTTAATCTGGTAGGTATTACAAAAGTATATAAAGATAAGAATAAGAATCTTATTAGATCATACATATGAATACACAATCAATAGGAAATAAAATCCATAAATGGTTATTATACATCAATATTGTATAAAATATTTTGATTCATTAAAATATTTTGATCCATTATTCAGGCAACACCACATCTATCGAATAAGCGTAAAAGTCTGCATGGAAGGAAATTGAGGCCCAAATCCGTAGTGGACTCAGTAGAAGGACTATCCGCTGATGACATACCAGATCTGTTGCCGTCATTGCCGAAGAGTCAAGCGGAAGGTTTGTATTCATTACTCTGTCATGAGTTTGTAAAATTGCAAAATATATGATTGGTACTTCGCAGCTATTTCGGAAACCGAGCACTCGTTGACAGAGTCATTAGATTCCGTCTCAGAATTGCCTAACACTGTGAGTCAGCAATTACAACATCTAGTAAAGTCTAGACCGCGCAGAACGAAAACGCGAGCGCCCACGAGACCGATGTTAAGACCAGATCAACCGATTGATGGTCTTGCTCTGGGCGAAGGTCTCGACGTGTTCTTCCGACCTACTACACCTACCACGCCTTTGATCTCGCCTACGAGTGACGACAGGTTAATATAACACTCTTTCATATTGATTTTTGTGGGATATATTTTTCCTTTCTTTAAGTTTTTTTTGTTTTATTCTTTTTCAACACACAAATTGTAAAAAGCTACTTATTGTAATTTACAGTTCTCTACATACTTTTCCAACGGATGGCAGTCCTAATTTATCGCTGACGAGTCACAAAAGCATTCCACCAGACATGGAGAAAAAGCATAGTTGTAATTCACCGATGCTAAAAACACTTTTGGAACCCGCGCCGCGCTCACGTTCCAGCGACAACTTGGAAAAGTTTTCCCCCCTTGTTGGTAGAAGATCACAAGGTGATTCACCGCTTACTGCCTCACCGCTCGCCCGGAGAAATACTACGGACAGCGCTCAAGCTTATGAGAGATCCAAAGGCGAGGTTTTTGTGAAAGAGATCTGTAACAGCGCTGCTGCGAATGACATAAGCGACGATTCTAAGCGCAGCACATTAACAAACGTATCTAATATAAGTCCGCGTGGCTCGCATGATATCGATGATACCTTCGGAGCGAACACAGAAAGAGACCAAGAGAATCGTAAAAGTGTCACGAAGAAATCCGTAACTGATGCTGAGAAATCATCTTCGTCTGTCAAGCTACGATCAACCGGTCACGATCTGAAAAGTCCAATAAACAGTAATAGCAGCGGCATCAAGAGCATATCCGATTCAGCCAAGTCCCCCGTATTAAAACCATTGAAGAATGTCGGGTCTACAAGCGACGGAAAAAGCAACGGCTCACTTATTAAAAATAAGCCCACTCCACCAGCGACGGCACCTAAACCGCGACCATGGAGCATGACCACCGATCGAAAATCTGGTAAGAAACATTCAGAAGATATTTTCTAGTAAGAAGTACAGAAATACAGACGTATAGCGAATTCGATTAAATGCACTCAGTGTATACATTAAATTGTGTGGCACATTAAGACTCTTAAGTACTCACCTAAGGTAGCTAATCTAAAACTTTACTATCTTTTTTACTAAAAAGTTTACAGAAACTTCCGTTTAATGGATGTATACTGTATATTGTATATTGTATATTGTATCTTGACTTTATTAAATTTTACAGGAGAATTCAGTCTGTTAAGCGATGGTTCTAGTCCGAACACCTCGGCTGGCAATACGCCCGATTCTGGCGATGCTCTCGATGAATCGACTGACAGCGGTGTCAGTGGACCGGCCTCCTTGCCGCCGACGTTATCGACAAGCAGCACTGCAAGTTCGTTGAGTAATTCAAGCGTAGAAAAGAGATCGGTGAGGGAATTGGCAGCGAGCTTGAACAAAAGCAAAACAGACAGGAAGGAAAATGGTAAATGCTTTCGTTTCGATTATCCGCTTCTGTGTCGCATGGTTAAATTTTTTTTGTTGATTTGCCACATTTCTCGATCCTAAACATCATCAATACTCATTCTTATGTTCCTTGATATAGTTCTAAAAGCGCATGTATATCAATCCTTCAACGTACAGCCACTGTTACCTATTATTTTAGAGCATGCCGCACCTGCAGCATGGCGGTCACTACTTCAACGTTCTGTCGATCGAGCAAATACCAAGGTATTTTATGTACATTTTGTTTTATTTTTTTCCCTGTCAATAAGTTCTCTTATCACAGCTGAAATATATTTTTTATGAGATGCGGACGTACGTGCGTGCGTGCGTGCGTGCGTGCGTGCGTGCGTGCGTGCATGTGTGTGTGCGTTGCGTGCGTGCATGCATGCATGCATGCATATTTATGGCTTCATGTTAGACAGAATGCAATCTCGTTATTAATCGAAGTAATCAATTTTTAAATATTTATATAAAGAGAGATCTTTTGTATATGCTTTATATATTA